CTGGTTTTTCTCGAAAACTGGCAAATTTTAGCACTTCTTACAAGAGCACCTTTTTTGTTTAGAATAAAATTTGCCACATCAGCAAATGACAAAAGGGGCAAAAAGATTAACCTCAAAAAAGTTAGGGCCTAAAATGTTCCCGCAGAGTACTGCTCTGAACACCCTGTATGATATAGCCAAAAATTAATAACTCTAGAGCATTTAGCATTCCCAGAAACTCCACATAACAAAATTTCAGTTCATTTGGTAGAATTTTGTGCAAAATAGCACGGAAAGTAGATTCTAAAAAATTATTTTCAACGCCCTGAATCTTCACAACGGAAAAAGATACGCCCATGGTTCATAGGAACAAATTTTAATATTTTTTGAAATTCTATCAGGCCCTGAGTTTATGTCAGTGTTTTTCAGAACACCCTGTATATTAGGGTGCTTTGATTGAAAAATATATTTCTTTCTTTTCGCTCCATTGACGAAATATTTTTCTAAACATTGGAAAAAAATTGTCACCATATTTCAGCTCTTAATTTAAATTTTTTGTACTCGCTATTTCGACGCTTTAGTATGAAAACATGCTATCTCAGACTTCGGTGGGAAAACATGCTATCTCAAATTTCGGTTGAAAAACATACTATCTGGGAAAATTTAAAAGGTAAAGGTTTTTATTTGTGGATTTACGACAAAAAGTCACTTTGTAAAAACTCCTGCTTATTCACCCAAACCATAGCACTGAACAATAAATACTTTTTTCGAGAGTGAGCATTATTGTAATCTCAAATAAAATATTACCTAATTAATCACGAAGTGACTTTGACACAGCATTCGTCATTTTAAATTCCTCTATTATAGAACTTAATGAAACCTCAAATTTTTAATTCTCTGTGGATCCTAAATGACATCCCAGATATTTTTCGATATTGTCAAAAATAATGGTACTTTAATCTTGGCGACTAACAAAATTTTTCTAAATACTGAACACCCTGTATAAAAAATTACAAATATTTTAACAGTTTTGACCGTATTGGAACAAGCAGGAGTTTTTACAAAGAGCGACTTTTTGTCGTAAACCCACAAATAAAAAACTTTTCTCTCCTCCAGACATTACAACAGGACTCGCTATATAAAAATGTTTGTTATTACTAAAAATTATTCGATTTTTTTCATACATGCAAAAAACGTCAAGTAATGTACGTGTTGCAACATACTGCATATTATTCTATTTTTTTAATTAACAATTTTGTTGTTTATAACAGTAACTTAACAAAATTAATTGAAAAATGTTGAATAAAAAAAATTAAATAAACAGTGTATCTGAACATTCCTTACTTTTTGAAAAATATGTATAAGTTTATTATAAATGCACGGTTTCAATCATTCAATGTGCCAACTTAAATTTCTAGTCAAACTGAGATAGCATGTTTTTACTTAAAGATCTGAGTTAGCATGTTTTTCAAGCTTAATTTGAGATAGCATGTTTTCCAACCGAAATCTGAGATAGCATGTTTTCGTACTAAAGCGTCGATTTGATTTTAAAATGTTTCCATTCATTTAACGCGTACACCTACTTTCTTTTTAATTATCTATATCAGCTGCATTTCACGTTATTTTATTGTCCATATGCAATAGGGAAATTTTTGTCCTTTGCCCATATAAAGTCCGTGACTTGAACTGTTTCACTGCTAAAAAATCTTCGTTTTTTTTTTAATTTTACTTACAGCAAAAACTAAATAACATTTTTATAGGAAATTAAATAATATTCTACTTATTTACATTTCTAAAGAAACTTAAAATTATTATTAGTCCAGTTACTCAGGTTTTTACCTCCGAATTCTTTATAACTGAACTGATTGACATTAAATTTTGACTGAATGTGGGGAATGCCTCAAGGAATAAAACTTATATAGTGCCGAAGTGTGCTTTTGCCCTGGAGGTGGTTCCCACCCCTTCTTGGGGGTGGAAATTTTTACGCCCAAAATAACCACAGGAATCGATAGAGGAATCAATTTTAAGTAACAAATGTTATATAAAGATTTTTTTAATAATCCAATACTTTCCGAGTAATACGTCATTGAAAATGTTGATTTTTTTACTGAAAAAGTGCTTGTTTTCAGACAGTTTTTTGTAAATAACTCTGAAACCATTGGATTTAACGAAAAAGTTGTAATGAACAAAAAGTAATAAAAAAACAAATCTAATGGCATTATTTTGTTTTTCTCTAATTGCAATATAAACCGAGCTATAGATTTTTAAACATTATTATAAGTTAGCTAAAAACTATATTGGAACCAGTTAACGTTAAATAACGCCAAAACCATAAATATTAGGAAAAAAACTATTTGCACCTTTTTTAAAGTACTTTGAAAAACCTATAAAATGAGCTGTTTTAAAAGTCTTTAGAATCAAAATTAACGGAAATACTTATTATCAAAATAACATGATAGTCTAATTTTTTTTAAGAAAAAATTAATAAACAAATCAGTGCCTTTGGCGACAGAATTAAAATTAAATGCAATCCATTTACAGATTTCTTCATTTATGTTCTAAGAATATGCTCTGGGTCTTTGGCTCACTTACAAAGCATGATTACGAAAAAAAACTTAATTTTTGAAAATGTTAATTTTTCAAATTTTTGAAAAAAATTCGATTTTTAAGCTGTAACTTAAAAATTAAAAGGTGTACGAAAAAAGTAGAAGAGTAAAAAAATTTAGCTTTATTTTTGCTGAAGATTTTCCTTTATTTTTTATTCGTCTAAAATTAATATTAATCGAGATATCACCATTTTAAGTTATCATATGAATGAGAGAACCACCCTTTTCGAGCCCTTTAAACACTTCAAACTTAAAAATGAAGGCCTTAAAAAAGATCAACTCAACAGTTCACGTATCCCTTACAATTCCCTGCAAAACGAGCCTTTGTGCGATTAAAAATCTTAAAAAGTAAGAAAGTTATCGTCAAAAAAATAAACACGTGTATAGGTGATAATTTTAGGAAAATTTAGGTCAAACAAGAATTTAGAAGCATTTAGTTCTTTTTTGTATGTATACGTATTTAGTATGTGTATATATACCAGTACTATACTATATTATAACTACTATATTATAATAAGGGAATAAATGTTTATTTAATACGGATGCACATTTAAAATGTCTACTCTTTCAATAATATTTTTTCATTTTATTTTCGAAAGACGGGGTATTTTTCAAGGGTTGAAAAGTTGCAATCGATAAAAAAGATTTTGTAATCAAGAAATTCTAGTTGAAAAAAATGTTTGATATTATTTTCATCCAAAGGGGTGGTTTTTAAAGGTTTTTCTGGGTTGAAAATTTGGGAGACATTAAGTTTCACGTTAGATAGCACATGAAATTACTCATACTGCACAAATAAAAAAGATTTGATTACATAAAATGCTTAAATTTGTATTTTTTCTTTTTTTTCCAATAAGGGGTGGTTTTCACCCCTTAAGAACAAAAAGCACACCTAGCGCATATATAAGTTTTGAATTGGGGGGTAAGATGAGCCTAATTCTAAATTTTGAGAAAAATTGAGGCAGTTATAAAAAATTCGGAGGTATTACTATGTTTTCAGCTACAGTAACTGGGCTATATTGTAAGACTAAGACACTTAAAAGCTGTATAATGACTCGTTTTGCTATTTTCACTCATTCTGAATATGATTCACAGAGGATTCCAAAGTATGCTATTTTTAAATACAGAAATGCTTATGTGATGTTTACTACATACAGCTGGTGAAAGGCAAAAAATGCATAATTGTATTTATTACTTGATTATGAAAAAAAATATTTTACACATATACGTGCAACCAGTGGCGGCCCGTGAGTTTAACCACAGGGGGGGCGTGTTTTAAAGAGAGAACGTATATGAGAGGAGGTGCGGGGGGCGAGGGGGAATTTTTACAGAGGAGGCACTGCCTCAATTATTTATTATTTACTATTTTAATAACATCAATTTATATTGTTTAATGCACTCACCTATTTTTTTTAAATTAAAATCCATTCTCCTGCTTTTGTCCGCACTGAACTTCTGTGTCACCTTTTCGTTAAAGTCTGGAATATTTTTAACCATACAGTTCTCAATGGACAACATTCCTAACGCACTTAGACGATCTTCACACATAGTATTTCTCAAAAAAGTTTTAATCAGATTTAGTTTTGAAAAACACCGTTCTGGTTCTGCTGTTGTCATTGGTATCGTCACTAATATTTGTAAAGCTTGAGTAATTTCCTTAAAAACTGGCCTACTTTTGCACTCTTTCTGTACCTGAACTAAATTCAACACTGGCGTTGGACGTCCGTTATTTTTCAATTCGACTTTTTCCTCTAAACTTAAATTACTAATAACAAGTTTTTTTATTTCACTAACCCTCATTTTAAACTTAAACTTATAAAATATAATGTCTTAAAAAGCGCCAAACCAAAAACAAAACACGTATAACTACACTGCAGTGATACGGGATACTGCCTCATTGAGTCCCAAAATAAAGCGCACGAGCCTATCGTCGCCTACCCCTCCACGTGCCAATTTGTCCAATCATATGTAAAAATATGCTTTCACGGTGGACTACGATTTCACCGTCCGCGATGGACTGGGGATTGCGCGCGCGGTCAGACATAACTCTTTCACGGAGTACATCCACTTTATGCAACCAACCTAACATATATGACATATTGATTGCATACTATTTAGATTTTTTATTGATTTAATACATTATTTTAAGTTTACAGTTTGAAAATATCTGGGGGGCGGAGTCCCAGAGTCCTCCTTCACGAGCCGCCACTGCGTGCAACCCTATTCGAAATCCCAGGGAGAGCACCCTGATTTTAATATTTTATTTTGCAATTTTATTTGAAATTTTTTCATAACAAAACAAAGCTTCTCCATCTCTTAACACTTTTTCTGTATATATGTGATAATCTAGATAGCAACTAAATTGAAAAATCTTTCTATTCTATTCATTAATAAATAAAAACATCAAATAATTATTACCTTGTATTGTGATCAACATAATAACGCCTCCCATAAGTGTCAAATCTCATTTCCCAACCAGGAGGAAGTGGTTCAGATTCTGCTCGATTTTCATCCGACTCTGAAGTAATTACATTACCATTTGGAACCGTTGCGGGCGGGCCTATGGTGCCTAAAAGTAAAATTTTTTCATATTCGTTTGATTTTTAAAATTAATAATAGTTATAGTACATTTCGTAGAAATTATTTTTATTACTATTATCAATTGTCCTAAATAAAATTTGGTTATTCGTAGGATAATGAAGTGTTGCCGCCAAGAAATGATTCTGGAACCTCAATCTACCTATTCCTACAAATTGGATAGCACGAATAAAAAGGGGGTAATCCTTTTATTTAGCTTTATATGAATAAAAATCAAAACAAAACCTACTTCCATAAAGTCAATGTTGCATTTCAAATGAACACAACCAAGTTCCAAAATAAGTGACGTAAATCGAAACATGTCGATATATTTTTTTTCATCCATTTCTATATAAAGTGAAAGAGTTAGGTTCTATCAGAAGATATAATGTATAAAAACTACATATCAATATTAAATAATCATACTTTATTAATAAAACAAACCATGTATTTGGTACATACTTATTGCATAATTGAAAAAATAGAAAAAACCATAATAAAAACTAAACCACTGGTTTAAAAAACGTCAATTCCAGTTTGTTCCACTTCTTTTTTCTTGTTTTCATACATTTCTCGATAATACTGACAGGAAGAAATAATTTTGTTATTAACAATTTTCTTTCAAAATTTGGATCATGTTTTTTAAAAAAGGCATTCTGTAAATATTCAAAGGCTTGCAACACCGATGACCGTACAAGTGAAATAGCCCATGACGTATCTCGAAGCCATTGGCGTTAGATTGAGGACGTGTTTTAAAATATTGTTCGATGCAAATAGAAAACGACATAACTCAAGGACTGCCTGTATTATAAAGAATGAAAAGACACCACGAGAACAGCAAAAATTTGTAATGTATGGCATCTTATTTTATTAGCTTTTTAAACTTGCTGAATAAAATGAAAATAAATTTAAGTAAGTTGGACTTAATAAAATGGAGTTCTCTCTGGTTATTGCTTAGATCCATTAAGTGCCCTGTATCTACCCTGTGCATCACAACCACTGATTTATCTATGTTTAAGTGACAATAATATAGAGAAATCAGCATTTGTACAGCACATGGCAGATACTTTTAATAGAAATATACCATAATTATTTTTCGCATCTCCGTTCTTCTATGATTCATGTTGGTAGGTCTCACTTATACATGACGCGCGCACAGGTTTAAAGGAAAAAAGTGTTTCGTAACAGTCCGTTACTACTTATTGATAGCCAGGTCCTATTTGTTTTGTGTATCATTGTGCCTTGTGTAGTGTATTTATGCAAAGAAAAGAATTTCCATGAATCCGAGATAAATCACACATAAGGGAAATATTATATTAATTATCCATTTCAGAAGATGAGAAGGTATTTCATTAAAATTTTTTCTGTTAGCCACCCTTGACTTGATAATACTAGCTCGTATACTATGGTACACGCAGAGTTTTTAGACTAATTGAAATGCAAATTCCACCTTAAGTGGATTGTCTAGCTGGTCATATTGTAGTTGTTTTTAATTATTTTGAACGTGAAAATTTGTTTGCAGAATATACGGTTGTTTTAACCATCTTAGTAGGGTGTAGCCGCTTTGTTTTTTTGCCCGCATTCCATATGACATGTAGAGAGTGGTTTTCACTCAGCTTAATTGGAAAGTCTAGCTAGCCATATCATAGTTGTTTTAACTACCTTGCCCGTAAACTTTTTGTTTGCCAAATATTTGGGGCAGTACGGTTGTTTTGACCGTCTTAACAGGGCGCAGCCGCTTGGTTTTTTGCCCTCATTCCATGTGACATGTCGAGAGTGGTTTTCACTCCCTTGAATGGAAGGTCTAGCTAGTTATATCGTAGTTGTTTTAACTACTTTTCCCGCAAACTTTTTTGTTTGACAATTATTTGGGGCATATACGGTCGTTTTGACTGTCTTAAAAGGGCTTAGCCGTTTTTGGTGTTTTGACCACAGACAATTTGTTTTCAGAATAATTTGGGGCACTATGCGATTGCTTTAATTCGACTAAATAAGGTCTAGTCGTATTGACTTTTTGTCCGCATTTCATGAAACATGTAAAGTGTGGGTTTCACTCTTTTTACATGCAAAGTCTATCTATCTCTAAGCATTTAGTAGTTATTTTAACCATGTCATCCATAACTTGTTTTAGACATTTTGGCGTAATTCTACTATTTTTACCCTCTGCATACCACGGTATACACGGAAAGTGGATTTTTCGTTCTAAAGGCTTCCTATTATAATTTTGCCTTGCTTACATAGCAAAATTTAAATAATCTGCTTAAAGCTACATTTTTTCAGAAGCAGTGATTGTACTGTGTTCCTAAAAAATAATTGTACTTATGTACAAATATAATGCAATTTTTTTTTTTTTTTGAGATAGATCGGAGTTATGATAACCCCTTCTTTACTCTTACGGGGGCTTACTCAAATAGTGAGTTAGTATATACTAATACTCACCACTCCCTTTTAATTCGAACAAAAATTAGAAATTTACAACTTTTTACAGATGAGAGTGAATTAGGTGCTCAACAAATTAATGTTGTATGTAGTACGAGTTCCTGGAGATAGTTACGTCATATTAAACAGTGTAAAAGGCGAGTAATAAAATTAAGAGAGTATACCAAAAAACAAAGGGGGAGGGGCGGAAATTGTGAGCATTATGGATAAGAAGAGCGATGTGTAGAAGAGTTTACTGGTAAAAGGAGCCTTTGATGTAGATAAAATAAAATTATTGAAAATAGAGTATATGAAATTTAAAAATGAGTGCATTGTTTTGTCACTCAGTAGGTGCTATTCTACAATGAAACTTAATGTGAATTATACACGTAGTTTTGCTAATAACACCTTATATATTTTATTTGATTAAAATAATCTATATAGATATAAGTGTGTGCATACATGTACATATGTGTATATAAGCAAAAAAAAAAACGATCGATTACTAGGTATGGCACTATCATCAAACATGATGCATCAGAGCGACATTTTCATTTATGACAGTGTATGAAAAAATAGCAATTGAGAAGAGGACAAAATTAAATGATAATAAGGGAACTTTCAATGAAGTATTAGGAAGCAATTACGTAACAAAACCTTAAATAAAGTATTAGGTTAGAAGAAAAGTAGCCTGATAGTATGAATAAAAATGTTAATATTAACCAGAGTTACAACCTAAGAAGTGTACGAAATTTATAAAAGTTAAAAAATATACACTCTAAGGAACATTTGACCTATTTTCACTCAATTTCACTCAATAATGTATCAATTTCTGTCCACCCGATTGAGTGAAATTTTCCTCTATTAGTATGAGTAAATACAACTAAAATTTTATGAGTAAAACTATCGGTTCAAATATTATCAAAAATGTGTAGAGTTGTCAAGGTGCCCAATATTGACTGAAAATGTGCTCAATGATGTCACCCAATGGATTTCACTCAGATCGATTTATTTACAGTGTATATCTAGGTATATGCCTGTACATATAAATCTATAATTTACCAAGGATGGAATTTTGTTTATTGTGGCCAAACAAATCAAAAAGTTTGCATCTGTTAAGATGAACTACATGCCATTTGAAGACATAATACACAAATTATATTAGTACAAGCAATATCGAAATAATCCTATCTAAAAATTACATCAACGACAGACAAAATCAAAAGGATGTTTAGGAAGTTTAAAATATAAGTTCAGACATTTATTTGCTCCCTTTGGCTGAAAATTAATGTCTTAATCTAATTTGTCATGGACATATTAAACCAATTAGTAAAATGAATATAGCAAAACTGGCAACTGCATCTTACTTGGAGAGGTATTCAATTAGTGGCCATATACCAATGCCATTCAGAGACAAAGTTGTAAAAAAGGGCTTCCTTTAAGAATGTTTATTCAACATACTGTAACTTTATAGTTACGTTCTTTGGGCTATGAATCAAAGAAAAATTTGGCTTTCACATATCAAAGCAACAATTAATATCACACTTATATAATAAGTATACATCAAATATCACGAAATAGATAACTACATTTATATGTGTCTTATATATATTATGTCAGTGGACTATACATTGACTTGAATTTGAATTAAAGTCCAAAGTAAAAATTTCGGTCATACTAAGTTACTGATGTTTCTGAAACAAAATATCAAGACGAAATTCAAAACGTTTCAAATAGCTACAGTTCTTTTATTTCCTAATGGTACTCTATCTAAATTAGCTTGAAAATGTAAACCCATTGCTTCCTTTTTTTCTATAATAATATTTATATAGAAAGGGGTTAAATATTGCACCCTCTGTATGACATGAGTACCTGAGCATGCGCAGTCACCATTATTAAGGAAAAAGTGGTGCTGCAATCTGCTTCCCTCAGGTCTTGTGACGCATTGGACATGCTGTTAGTAGCAAAGTTTAGTAGGGCTAGGGTTAGTACATTCTAATGGCTATAATCTTTCTGATGACCTGAGGTGATAAAAATTCTATCCCCAGGCATTTGTGATTTATCACCATTAAGCATTCATAGTATCAAAGAATGTATGTATAATCCTCGTGTGTATAATCTGTACTTTACGCCAGTCCTCAGTCAAAATCTAAAAAGCTGCAAGTACCTCCACATTACCAAATTGATAAAGGAACGATGATTTCTAATGTTCCATAAACAAAAAAAAAGAATGTATACACATGTAAATATATTTATTTTTCTTTATGAATTACTTTAGTTTACTTCTCCCATTTGGAGATCACAATAAAACATCGATAACACCAAAATTTTTGGTCGATATAGAAATAAAAAAAAAAAACAACATGCTTGCTACCAAACATATGTAAATATAGGATTGGTGTACTTACATAAAAGAATTTAAATCATGATTATACTTTGTTTGAAAAGCAACACTCTTATTCCGCCCTTAATAATTACTAAAAGTATCCTATAAATTAAGGTTATTGCGAAAACCTACAGCAAGTATTCCGTGACTTGAAATCCTAACCTGGTTCTACTTCTTTTGTGAAAAATATAATTTTTGAAAATGCTACCATTTGTAAAAAGATATAAAACCTAAACTCGTTTCACTTCTTACTTTTGCGTAAGCAGATGGAGTATAAACAATTTGGAAAATATAAAAGTTTCAAATCAAAATGATAACTGATTGAGAAATTTCAGAAATATCTTTTGTCGAACTCTATAGTAAAAAACAGTATTTTTCTAATATTTTCTTTATTATAAAATGAACTGGAATTGTGCATTATTACAACATTGTTCTTCGAAACGAAAATGTTGACTTAGGCATAACAAAATATATGTGTACATATGTATGTACGTGTATACCTATATATATGATATATAGTATAGTCTATATGATATATAAAATGTGGTATATGGTGTATGATATATAATATGTAATATATAATGTATGATACATAATAAGTAATATATGGTCAATAATAAAGGGAAACTAAAAAAAGGTTTGTTTTAAAAAAACAATTTAGATCAAATATGAAAACAGTAAGGAGAAGAAGCCACTAATTCTTCTGATTGTCATAATTTGATAAAATATAAGTACTTCTTATTTTACTTGAGAAACTTTTATCATAAAACTATAAAATAGCGCATAATTTAGAAACTTTTTTGACTGCACTTAATCGCGCTAATTGTTTACTCTAAACATCTACCAACATGAATCATAGAAGAACGGAGATGCGAAAAATAATTGTAAGATTCGATCGACTTACCTGTAAGGAAGATCAATCTCAATTATTTGAGCATCGTAGTTCTTCTATGATGGGGCCCACCCTCCACTCTTTTTTTTACCCACAGCGCGATTGGTTCGGTCACAAAATGAACTGGCTGGCTATCAATAAGTAGTAACGGACTGTTACGAAACACTTTTTTCCTTTAAACCTGTGCGCGCGTCATGTATAAGTGAGACCTACCAACATGAATCATAGAAGAACTACGATGCTCAAATAATTGAGGTTGATGCTCCTTACAGGTAAGTCGATCGAATCTTACAATTCTGGCGAGAAAAATTTGGAAACGAGTAATCTGTAACAATCAAGGAATGAAAAGTCACAGAACAGACTTTAAACCCTGTTCCTGAATGCCATGGACCAGTCAGCACGACATAAATATAAATGCTGGTCAAAAGGCAACTGCCAGTTTACAGACCTTCTTTTGAAGAAATGAGTGAAGTGTCTCTCAAAGTCAAGAAGTCTAAATCAACGAAATCAACCCAAAAATTGTTCAAACATTGACAACTGCCTTAGAACCTTAAAACCAATCTAAATAGAGGAGTTTCAATTGAAGGTTTGGCTTTTACTCTAACCTTTTACTAGGAGTAGATGCTTCTATTATTATCTAGCATACATTTTGAGCAAGTGCTCCTATGTACACTATAAGTCTGTAACTTGCTTACAGAAAAATGAAAATCTAAGGTATTTTACACTTTCTAAATATAAAAAATTAACAGCATATTTCTAGAAAAACTTGAAATTTTTATTAAACAGCAGTGGGACCAAATACAACGATATACAATATGTATAAACTTCTAACACTTTCAATTATATTAGAAGTTACAACATTTAAGGCAAACATTTTAATTTTAAGAATTAATAATTTCAAAAATAGTTTTTTTCTTTTTGACATTTGCAGAACTATCTATAAAGATATACATATCTTGAATAACTGAAGAGCAAGTAGAAAAGTACAAGCAAATATCTTTGTGGCATGATAATATAAGTATTTGACCAAAGGGCAGTGAAGTTATAGAAATTAGCATGTCCTTTTTTTTCCTCAACAATTTTTATCAAAAAAGTTTTTTGATATGTTTTCCCTTTCAATATATATATAAGACGAAATGTATAAAGAAGTTAAAGGTAAATCATCCGTATTAAAATTACAAATAAAATTCGCCTTATTTCACAAATTGCATGTAGAAAATAAAATTTGCCGTGAAGCTGTACTTTGTTAGGTTTTTACTAATGTACCCCTATTTTTTACAGTGCTATGGCTCAGTACATATGTGTTCTTGTTTTAATCCTATCGTTCAGTTGTCAAGTGGCGACAATTGATAGAAAATGTTGAAATGCACATTTTCATTAAACAACTTATCTAAAAAATCCCATTAAATAAATTAGAAGAATAATCATGCAAAACATAGATAGACTTTATACATTGTACATTATAAATGGAATGATTTGAATCACCCTAGAACCATTTCCTGTCAGAACCAAACCAAACTCATAGATGAGATATTTGTTAAAACCATAATTTCAAGGGCAGATTCAATTTGGCACACTGATGCTGAGTCAAATTTTTCTCTTGATCATATATTTTAAACAGGAAGTCATTACTAACAACCATATCCTAAACTTGTTTTTCAAAATTTTCATTTTAACAATTTTTTTGCAATAATTATTTTCGGGGCTTAAAATTAAAAAATTTATTGTGTAAAACCATTAGAGATATCTTAATAAAATATTTAGGACTTATTGTGTAATATTTATATGTATTTTAATAAAAAATATAAAAATAAATATTACTTATTTATCATATTTTTTATTAACTTTTAAATAAACAAATGAAAATTTTAATGACACGTTACTTACAGTAATTTACATTTATTTATTCATTTTATATTTGCCGTATTTGTTCATAAATAAAAGCAATAATTTTTTTATAGATTTATTATAAACAGAATGTTTAAAAAATATTAAAATTTAATAAAATTATGTTTAATTATAAAAGTTTTTTTTTAAATGTCCGCTGACTGGAGTTAAAGCCAAGTCAACTACGCGCGGCAGCACGCTGTATACAGACACCGCTCGTCGCTCTAAGATATAAAAATTTATATTGTTTAAACTAATGCTGGGCACTTAAAATTTCTAGGGGAATATTAAACATATGACGGATATAACTGAAGAAAAAAACCTTTATCATCTGTCTGAGAAGTCATTAATATTTTAATATTTTCATTTATTTAAGTTAATAAAAAGTATGATAATAAGTTATCTTTATTTTTGTATTTTTTATTAAAATAAAAATATTATACAATAAGTCATGAAAATTTCTTTAAGATATCTCTAATGTTTTTTACAAAATTCATTTTTCAATTTAAAGTCCCAAAAATGTTTATACAGTAGAACCCCGATTATCTGTGATCTATGGGACCGAGCGCGGCGCAGATAATTTAAAACCAAGGATAAACAAAACATATATTTTTTTCGTAACAAACGGAGCAATACATAGGTAAACATGCACAAAATAATTTATATACTTTACACTTTTGAAACAGTCAATCATTTGGTTCGTATTTAACTTCTTCTGTTTTGCTTTATTTTACGACGTATTTTACGTAAGTTTAAAATGCCGACTTACTGAAAATAGGCTAATAGAATATTTGCAACTTCTGCAGATTACAAATGTTAGCCACAACACCTGATGTTATACAGTCTTTACTGAACAAAAACACAAAATGACCCGTCACCACAAATTCCTAATCAGAGCACAGATAATCTGCACACGGATAATCGAAGTTCTACAGCATTAAAAAAAAATTGTTAAAAAGAAAATTCTGAAAAACAGTTTTAGGGTATGGCTGTTGGTAATGACTACTTTTGATTAAAATATATGAACTCAAATTCCATGATCAAGTGGAAAATGGGAAATATATAATTTATATTTTATACTAATAATTTTTTTCTTGTCTTTAGATTACCTCACTTAATAAAAAAATGTCATTGTTATATCTTTCATTACCCTTCATGGAATGTACTTAATTCTAAAATGCCCTGAATATAACATCTTAATAATTTAAACTTACCATTAGGAATATTATTAGAACTTGGTGATAAAGCTATTTGTGGTGTTGCAATTAAAGCCTGTCTTTCAGAGCTATTTCTAGATGAAGCTGGTATAACATTTTCTGTTCCGTGACCTCTCAATTTAGCTCTAATCCCATTCAAGACACTACGATGAGGTGTATCGCTATTGCTTTGTGCTAAAGGCATCGATCCATTTGGACGCACGTAATTAGACATATCAAGAGTTAACCCCTTCAAAGTACACATCAGTTCACCTACTTTAACTGGAGAATCGGTCTGTTTATTTTCATTAATCAAATCTAAAGTTAAATCCAAATTATCACACTTGCCATTAAAGTGGGTTAACAGTTGGAAAAGTTCCACTTTTTTCTCTCCTATAATTGTATCTTTACGAAAATTGTTATGGTCCATGACAGAGAAATTTATTTTTGAATGCGGTGTAACTAAGAGTGTAAATGTTTCATTCCATTTGGGTTGAGTAGTGGTTTTTACAGTTTCAGTTTTACGAGGGCTTTGGTCGTCTACTGTGATTTCTACATATGGAGTTGGTTTAAGGAATGCACTGCTTCTCAAGTGAGCACATTCCACTAAAACAAAAAATATATTTCACAAAATTTAGATTGAAGAAGTACTACTGTATATTATACAGGGATAATTGTCCAAAGGGATATTATTAATAAATATTTATTTTGAAACATAACAGTACAATGTTCAAATAAGACATTTTTATAATTTTTTATGTGCACCTAATGCATGCAAAGTAATTTAAATTTATTTCGTAAGATCAGAAATTTGTAATTTTAAATATGTTGTTATTAAATTTTTAAACTGTAATAATTAATTGAGGTTCAAACTTTGGAACAACACATATATTCCAGATGTAACAAAGAACTCTGCGAACTATAACTTCACCAGTTTTCTCAAACTTTAAAAAACAAAAGATTGACATTAATGCCTTTAAAAATATTAGGTATTAGTACAAAATATCAATACCTATCTTACAGACCTATCTTAGACAAGAAATTGTAATATGTTTTTTAAATAGAAGAAATTGTAACATTTGAAATGTGTTTTTCTTTTTAATAAGAATACCCTGAATGTTTTTACATATTTTAAGAAAGCATTTTTTCAGAATTACAGCTATATAAACTTTGATGGGTCTTTCTCTAATAATAAAGGAGTTATGGACAAAGGAATGTACTACACATATTAGGAAATATTAGAAAGAGTTGGAGCAACCAAATCTATTATTAATCCTTACTATTAGAGACAGACTCACCATACTTTATATCACTGTAAAATGTAATATGTAAAAACATACAAGGTGTTCAAATTAAATAAATCTATCTATATGTTCTTCCAGTACCACAATGTTTAATTGTCTTTGCAACATAGGCATTAAAAATATAAAAATATTCCTATAACTTTCATACTTTTTTCGTATCTCGAAGTATGCAAGAGTTGAGAGGACAATTTTTACGTAACACCCTGTGCAAATTTCAATTTTTGTGAAATATTTGCATGACCAAATTTGCAACACCATCTGGACAGTATAATTATATTATTTTCCAAAAAATGAGAAGTGAATTATACAGGGTGTAACGGCTGCTGATGGCCAAACTTCAGGGGGTTATTATACAAGTAATTTTCAACAAAAAAGTATTATAAGATTTTTTTGGAAAGTTGATAGTTGCTCTTTTATTTAACATTTTTTGATTTCAAAAAATTGTGTGCCTTTTTTCATAAAAACAAAAATATATCTGTTATTCTTACAGCCACATCAAATTTAGACATACCATCGGAAAGAGCGTTAAATTTACTACAAGACGAGCATATATGAGTGTTTAAAAAATCTTCTATACCAGGTGCTGTAAAAAGTTAAATGTAATAATTGTGAAATGAGCAAAATTAGTGGTATCTCCTTATTGGTGGTAACGCCAAAAATTTGTTAATGAGGACGTGTTTTTTCTTCAGCAAAAACTACTGTATTTAGTAAGCTCTTCAACGATATATCAACTTTTGAGTTTGCTATTTTTTTTTGGCAACAATATCGAGGGCAAAGGTAATAAAACCGTAAAAATTGAAAATACACAAACTTTATAATACATTATTTTTATTTTAAATCTGTTCGTATTACTCCATGCGTGTAGTTTTTGTGGGAGTTTCTTCAAAAAGCTGTTTTTTAACTCTCCCTCTTTCTTCTGTAATCCGCAATATTGTTACAAATGTGTTTTTGTTTAGAATGCGTCTTTCATGATAGATAAATGCCAAGGCGGCTGTGAAAAACAATATTGACACAACTGTCAAAGTCATAAAATTACTTTAGTGTTCTTGTTAATTACCTACTTAAGTATCTAAATTGAAGATGCCACGTTTTTTCACAAATAACGAGTATCGAGATATTTTATTTGTGTATGGTGTTTGCAATGGAAATTCTAGAGCAGCAGTTGCAGAATATTCTCGCCGCTATCCTGAAAGACGCATTCCAAACAGAAAAACTTTTGTAACTACATTTCGGGTTTTGGGAGAAACAGGCAGTGTTCCAGGACCTCATCGTCTAAATGCCGATCGAGTAAATCGTCATCAAGACCAAATTATAACAGCGCTTTTTGAAGAAACTCCCACATTAAGTACACGCAGGGCAGCAATACAACTTGGGAGAATTTCGCATACGTCAGTTCACAGAAGTCTCAGAAGGAACAACCTTCACCCTTATNTACGTGGGCACCTGTGAATCCTCATGCTGTCAGGCCCTCCAATAATCAATACAGATTCAAAGTTAACGTATGGATGGGTATAATTGGAAATTACGTTCTTAGACCAATTATACTAGAAAATACATTAAATGCAGAGGCATTTCTTGATCTTCTTCAGAACGAACTGCATAATATATTAGAAGAAGTTCCTTTAAATTTTCGGATTAATTCCTGGCTTCAAATGGATGGTTGCCCTGCACATAACAGCAGGGAGATTCGCGCATGGCTAAACGAGCATTATGAAGATAGATGGATAGGACGCTTTGGTACAGTTAGGTGGCCTCCTCGAAGTCCTGATCTAACTCCGTTAGACTTCTTTTGGTGGGGTAGATTAAAATCTTTGGTATATGAAGTACCAATTGAAACTCGAGAACAGCTCGAACAAAGGATTTTTGCTTGTTGGGAGCTACTTCGACAGCAAAATGGAGAAGTGCGTCGCACAGTTGCTTCCGTGCGGAGAAGGTGCGCTTTATGTATCCGTCAAGGGGGAGGTTACATCGAAAATTATTAAGTCATTGTAAATATGTTACTAAGTTATAAATAATTTTTTCAACAATTTTGTTACTTTAATTTAAAAAAGCAGTCTTAAAATAAAAATAAAGTACTATAAAGTTTGTGTATTTTCGATTTTTACGGTGTTTATTACCTTTGCCCTTGATATTGTTGCCAAAAAAAAATAGTAAACTCAAAAGTTGATATATCGTTGAAGAGCTTACTAAATACAGTAGTTTTTGCTGAAGAAAAAACACGTCCTCATTAACAAATTTTTGGCGTTACCACCAATAAGGAGATACCACTAATTTTGCTCATTTCACAATTATTACATTTAACTTTTTACAGCACCTGGTATAGAAGATTTTTTAAACACTCATATATGCTCGTCTTGTAGTAAATTTAACGCTCTTTCCGATGGTATGTCTAAATTTGATGTGGCTGTAAGAATAACAGAGATATTTTTGTTTTTATGAAAAAAGGCACACAATTTTTTGAAATCAAAAAATGTTAAATAAAAGAGCAACTATCAACTTTCCAAAAAAATCTTATAATACTTTTTTGTTGAAAATTACTTGTATAATAACCCCCTGAAGTTTGGCCATCAGCATCCGTTACACCCTGTATATTATGTGCTGTTATGCAGGCCCGGTCAGAAAGTCGGCAAACCCCGACTTATTTTGGAAGATAGGCCCCCAAACGACTAACGAGACGCCAAAAGTATAAGAAAATTTTTTATAAATCCTTGAGATATAGCCACCGTAAATTGAAAAGAAAAAAGAAAAATGTAAAAATGAAAATTTAATCTTTTGTAGAAATGGGATTTTTCCAGGTCAAAAAAATAACACAAATTTTATTATTTTGCCCTATACCCCTTTAAACAATGTGCCTACAGGAAAGAAAGAGAGAAATAAATATATATTCCAAACTGTAAGCCCTTTAAACTAATAACTCTTTTATCTATAAGCCGTGGGGCGGGAGGAAAACGAGAGAATTCGAAAATTAATATAGCTTTCTTTAAGCTAAAAAAAGATTCGGTGTGTAGTGCCTATAAGAATACAGATCCCGAGAAGAGAACAGAAAAACTGATTATAATAATCATAATTTAAAGAAAATAAAGAATTGTCGAAAAATGTTAAATCTCTAATAACAGCTGCGATTTTTATTATAAAAGTGAAATCGCAACATACAACTTTACAATTTATAATTTAGGCAGCAATCAAGGCTATTGCTATATATGGCATGAGCAAACATTGAAAGAGAACCGGATGAAATTGGAAGTTGTTTATAGATCTTTTTAAAAAGTGTTAAAGAAAATGACATACAAAAGGTTATTCCTTATTCCAACAATTACGGTGGTCAAAACTGTAATCGTTATGTTTTTGCGATGTTTCCTTATGCATCAATGACTTTGGATTTGGAAATAACACACCGTTTTCTTGAAATTGGCCACATGCAGAATGAAAATGACAGCATGCATGCTGTGATTGAAGTTGCAAAAATACGTCACTCTGCTATATACACTTCTGATCAGTGGATTAGTCTAATAAAAATGGCCAAAGTTACTGCCCCACAGTACAAAGTAAAAGAAATGTCGCAAGAAGATTTTGTAACTTTTAAACCAATGGTAAATAAACAAAACTGGAAAAAATATATTACTGGAGAGGCCGTAAAAATCAGCAAAATCGGAGAAATCCACTGCAACCCAAAGTCTCCCAATAAAGTATTTTTTGTGTATAATTTTGGAGAAAATCATAAAGAACTAGACTTACAAACAAAAAACACACGCAAACATGAAGAATATCAATTTCCAAAATTGTATAAAGGTTTGCTGCCAATTGATGGTAAAAAATTAAGTAGTCTTTTGGGTCCGTGTAAGGCTAATTTGATACCACCGATGTATCATAGATTTGACAACTCCTTTTGGCCTGCTAGTAAGAGTGACTACCAGGAAGAAAGTAATATTGACCAAGAAGATGACTCTGACTCTGAATCGTAATAAATTTTCGTTTTATGTCATTATTGATTATTACATTATTTTTTTTAATCTAAAAATAGAAAATGTTTAATATTTCTGTACCTTATTAGTGTAGCAAAATTTTGTCGACGAAAACTGTAGTAACTCATTCAAAATCCATTTTTTTCTTATCCTAAATGATTTTATTTAGATCATCAATAATTAATTAAGACCTAAACAATAACTACTTTGTTAAAGAAGAACGATTTAGCTCTTGTAATAAAAAAAATAACGAATATTATTATTTTCTCAACTATTCAAATGCAATTATCTCAGTATAATCAAATTTGAGATACAATAGTTTTTCTTGGGAGAGTCGATA